AGACCAAGCTCATCTAGACAACCCCTCATTTCAATTCCAGGTTGTGTCAAGTTGACAATTAAAACTATTACAGGGTTGCTGCGCAATGGTGGCCCACGACTTTAATCCCAGCACTTGGGAGGCAGAGGCAGGCGGATCTCTGCCAGTCTGAGGCCAGCCTGGTCTACAGAGTGAGTTCCAGGACAGACTCCAAAGCCACAGAGAAATCCTGTCTCGAAAAACCGGAAAACAAACAACACAACAACAAAAGATCACTGGGTCATATTCTGTGGCCTAGGCTGGCCTCAAACTCATGGCAATGCTCTTGCTTCAGGCTCCTGAGTGCCGGGATTACAGATATGAAGGACCGAGTCCTTGTAATGGGGGAACTTTGGATAGTGACACGTTTGCACGGGAGAGGCCAAGCAGGGGTAAGCCTGGTGTGTACAGACACTAACACTGAGCCAAGCACCCCAAACTCCAGCCCATAACTGACCCTTCCTGGAGGGCTCAGCCTGCAACAGCAGATCTCAGACCTCTAACCCCCAGAGCCATGAGGAAGAACCGCCTGCTTAAACCACCGGCCATCGTGCCTCTGCTGCCACAGCGCCAGAGAAAACCAGCATGCCCCGTGCTGTACTGGACTGTGCTTTGCCGTGAAAGGCCTGTGTTTCTATAGCATCAGAGTGTGTACTGAGGACCACAATTCAGCATCCACATGGTTTACACCTGTCAACCTTCCCTCTAGTTACAGGGGGGAAAAACCATGTGCATGTCTCAGAAAGTGCGGGGCCACAAGTTCTGAGCCAGCAGGTCCCTTCCTGGTATTCTGGGAAGGACACCAGAGGCCTAGGTCACCTCCAGTGTTGTCTAGTTACTTTTCCTGTTGCTGGGATAAACACCATGACCAAAAGCGACTTGAGGGAGGAAAGGGTTTAATGTCAGCTTACCCTTTCAGGTCACACGCCATCTCTGAGGGAAGCCAATCTGGGTAATTCGTCGGTTGAGGTAGGAACTATAGGTTGTATCAAACTGACAAAGCCGAACCAGGTCAATGGGCTCCTCCTGGTCTTAATCTCCCTCCCCAGGGCCTCACCCCTGCTATCTCAGCCCTTACAGCCAAGGGGATCCTGAGAGCTCCCAGGCATGAATGGGCCTCAGGAGGAGCCCTCACACTCCTACAAATCTGTCAAGGCTAAGCTCCACTTCAGGCCCTAGCACATCCCCTGGTCCTGTCCCAGGTACACCGAGGACAGCCATGTTGCACAAGCCAGGCAAAGCCAGCCCATCGCATGGTTTCCCAGCCTCACAGAACCGAGACGGCATACAGGGAGGCCACTGAGAAAAGCCACGGCTCTGAGCTTCGAAGCATCTTGACCGTAACGTTGATGAGCGTGGCTGAGAACCGCTGAGCCAGGGTGCCAAGAGTGGGGTCCTTGTGCTGGTGAATGCTTAAAGCAAGCAGGTGCCTGCTGCAGCCAGGGCTGGGGCCTACCCTGAGTGGCTGGTGCTGCTAACCCTGACTGGGAATCCCCCAGGGAAGGCAGCTCTGATTTTCTTTTGACTCTTAGTTGTTTTTCAATTGTATCTGGTAACAGATCTTGAAAGCATCTTCCTGAGGATATCCCAGGAGGGGCTGGGCTGTTTACACCCATCTACCCTGTCAGAGCAAGATGTGTCATTCACACTTAACATCCCTCAGGGGACCAAGACCAGGGCATGTGGGCACAGCCACGCCTACCAACTTTCTGAGCAGCAATGCTGAGATGGGGTGACCTGCTGGAATTGAGGAAGTGAAGCCTGGGGGAAAAGACAGTTTCTGGTGAGGTGTTGGGAGAGTACGTGTGTGTGTGTGTGTGTGTGTTGCACATGCATAAACATATAACTGCACATGTGATCATGCATGCATGCATGGGTGCATAACCTACATGTGCATATGAGAGCAGAGGCTGTATGGACACGTGTGCACATGTGTGTGAGTAGGTGTGAGCACATGCATACCCATATAAGCAGATATGCCTGTGTGCTGGGAGATGTCATTCTGTAAAAATGTGTCTGATTGGTTTGAATAAAGCACTGTTGGCCAATATGGAAGCAAGACAGGTGGGACTAGGAGTCGAGGAGGATTCTGGGAAAGAGAGACGCAGGCAGACACCATGTAGCCGCCAGAGGAGTAAGAGGTCTGGACCCTTTCTCCAGTAAGAGAAATATTTAGATTAACAATTATGGGTTAAATACAGAGGTAGCCAGTAAGAAACAAGCAAACGGCCAACAGCTTTATAATTAATATAGCCTCCTGTGTGTTATTTGGGGGTTCAGACAGCGCGGCAGGGCCTAGGCGACTGGCAAGGAAAACTACACTCTATACCTGTGTCTTCATGCATTGGTGCATATGTGCATGCATGTGAATATTATGCATTGTGTGTGCAAAAATGTTCATGTTTACACATATGGATGCTACATAAGTTCATTTGTGTAAATGTGAATGTTGTATACACACGTGTGTGCATGTGCTATGTATGTATGTATGCATATGTATGTGGGTGTTACATAAGTTCATATGTGTGGATGTGTGTTACATGCATACACTCTTGATATACTTGCATGGGAGTATTAACCTGCATAAGTCCATATGCGGGCATTGTGCGTATGTGCACAGACAGGGGCACGTAACTCACAAGGGAATGGCTACGGCCAGACATTGTCCAGGAACCCCACAGTCACTGCTGAGGCCATGATGAGCAATGGACGCCCACCCCAGGCTCAGCACCCTATTCCTGAAGTGGACAGAGGAGCCAGCAGTGCTCTGGGCAGGGAAGGGCTTGGAGTGGGAGAAGAGAGCCCTGGCATGGGCTGGAGCGGAGCAACTAAATTAAATCCCTGCCTCCCAGAAAGATCTGCAGTCCCTCTGCTTCTTCCCAGCAGGACTGTATACTGATGGTTCTGTGATGGGTGTGTGGGAGAAACACTCCCATCTCTCAGGGAGTAGGGTTGGGACAGCTCACTCCTCTGGCACAGATCCCGGTGGGTCATAAAAAAGAATCAGGCTGAGTGCCCTGTCTGATAACTGTGATTCCAAAGCAGGAAGAGGTGGGTGAACCTGATAGGATGTCCCCGCTCCTAAGCCCAGGGCCTCGGATAAGAGTCCCTGGGCATCCTCAGTATTTGTCCCATTGTAACCCCGGGGGCCTGAATTTCCACAAGACTGCTGATGCCACTTGGTGGGAGACTCTGGCCCTGTGTCTCTGGTCCTCCTATTTCCACGAACCATGTGGCTCTCCTAGCCAGAGAATGGTCATTTCATTATCTGCAGAAGTTGGTTGTCATCGAAGCATCCTCATCAGCACACCGCCTGAGCCCTGCCTGAGTGAGCAAAGTGGGTGTGGCTCAGGCCGAAGGCACTGGGGAGCAGCGCGGAGGTGGCCTGTGCAGCTGAACACACAGAACTGTCCACTGATGCCCAAACAAGAGACTGCTGTCTGCCTCCCCACGGCCAGGAATGGGTCTGAGTTCAGCACCAGGGCTCTGGGACAGCTCCCCACCGGGTCCCCTCAGTTCCGGAAGTTCATTGACTATTGGAGGAAGAGGGGCATTTCTCAGTGGCATCAGCTTTGTCCCCTTCAAAGCTGGTCTACCTTTGTCCCCATCACTCTGGAGATAATTCTTCACGTTTTCTGTGCCCACTGGAGATAAAAGCATTACCATAAAGAATGGCATTCAGGTCATGGGGAGGAACACCCCCCCAAACTCCTGGCTCATTTTAGTGTCCCTCTTAGAAATAAAGCCCAGTCCCCAACTCCTCATCCCCCTCATTCAATGTTGCTGTCCCACGAGACAGAATTCAGGTTACAGGTTTCCTGTGGAAAAGGAAGAGGGTGGCTGAGGGAAGGTCTAGCTGGACACAGGTCCTTGGTATTGATCTCTGTCTTAGGTGGGGACGGTCACAGCACTGTGGGTCATTTGATTCCTGTGCATTAGCACACATTTTAGAGGGACCGTTGTGTGTATCCAATGCCTTACGGAAATATAACAAAGTCAGAAAAAGCACACGCACACACACGCATGCACACACGCATGCACACACGCACGCACGCATGCACACACTCACGTGCACGCATGCATCCAACAGATGAGTGGTTAAAAGAAAAATATGACTCCAGCAAGATATCAGACAAGACACACACAAACACAATCAATACACACATAGGCTCCTACCCTTCAGTATCTCTGTCTGTCTGTCTGTCTGTCTGACTGTCGTCTGTCTGTCTGACTATCTGATATTCTCCCCCCTCACACACACACACACACACACACACATTCCAATCCCTTAGTATCCCACATACTCCTACTCCCCATATCACCCCAAATTCTCGAGCGCGCGCGCGCGCGCACACACACACACACACACACACACACACACACACAATCTTTTAGACCCTCTTCCCCAACAAGCCCAGGGTGGGTATGTATCTACCACTCTGTTCCACGGTGCCAGAAGGACCCTGACAAGCCCAGCATTGGGAGAGTCAGCATCAGCCACCAATCCTAGCGCCCTCATAGGCCCACCGATGAGCCCCAGCTCCAGAAGAGACGCCCTGAAGACTCCGCCCAGCCCACCAGGAAGGCAAGTGGAGGGGATCCCATGCACACGCGCTGCTCCTCTCTCAAGACTATGCATTAGCCTCTGAGCACAAGCCCAGACCCTAGTGTCAGTCCTGGTGTGTGTGTGTGTGTGTGTGTGTGTGTGTGTGTGTGTCAGGAGCCTGTGGACCGGCACTAAACAAACACACTTCCTCTATGCATCCTAAATACAAACAGGCATCTTCAGGGAACAGGCAGATGGGAAGCAGACTAGCCGGTGGAGGAGGGAGCCAGGGAGGACCAACATCTGAAAGAAGGCTGTGGCCAGGCTGTGGAGCATCCCATCAGCTGGTGGGCCGGGCTCTCCTTCACCCCCAGCCCCCTGCAGCCGCCCGGCCCCTGCCCACCCCCAGGATGTGAATGGCGCTCTGGGCACTCACCTCTGCAGCTCCTTCAGGGAGACCGTAATCCGAAGACTGTGGCCCAGCACGTAGAGAGCGGCCAGAATGTCTGCCCACTGCACCATCTCCCCCAGAGGCCCGCCCTTCAGCACCCTTGGGCTGAACACGTCCCCAGACTCCTCCGTCAGGAAGCCGATGTGGACAAGGATCTAGGTGAGCAGGACACTGGAGGTCAGCAGCAGCTCTTAGATCCATCCACCCCCAGGGACACCCCGGAAGACCATCCACAGCACGCAGGGTCTCCAGGCCTGGCCCGGTTGACTGCTTTTAGACAGGACAGCGGGGCTGTCGGTCAATGGGGCGGTTGTGCGATTGCCTCAGCACGCACAGACAAGACAGTTTTGTGAAGTGACAAGGACTCTGGGAGAAACAGAGAGGGAGGTGACAAGCATGCAATTCTCCATTACATGGATAGATGGCAGGGTAGACAGATTGACAGACGGATGGACAGATGGGCCAACAAACCCTCCTCAGCCCGTTTTTCCCAGACTCCTATAACTTCTGTCTGTCCAGATAAAAATGTCCCAAGGATGCAGGACCTCCAGGGATGAGCATCCTGGCCAGCCTGGGAAAGGACCAGAGGCTCCACCAGTTGTGCTAGCCCTGTCGCCCGCAAGCCCTCTATCTGAATTTAATGCCACTGGTCTGAGGACACGCACCATGGCCAGTCAACCCCCCCCCCGATGACCTGTGTCCTCCTTGAACTCTGTGCCCATTTGGAATCCTCCATACTCGTTCCCACTTAGAACTCTGTGTCTGCTTGGAGCCTTGTGCCCACGCCTCCCTGGAGCCCCAAGCACTCCCCAAGAGGATGCCATACCTGTTTCTGGTCCCTCCGGACGTCCCCCAGCTTCTGCGCCACCTGCTTGGCAGCCCTGGTCCACTGGGCAGTAAACCTCCTGGTTCTCTTCTTCATGAAGATGAGGGACTCCTTCCCACTGCCCATCAGCTCCAGGAGGTGAGACAGGTTGCTCCGGAACACTGCCTGTGTTGGGGGCCCCCATGCCAGCTCTCTCAATGCCCGGTCGTGCCCCCACCATCCTGTCCCATGCCCCCCCCCATGATGGAGGCTGCCACTTATTGTAGGGTGGGCGCCTGTGCAGCACAGGGAGGGGGCTCAGCTCTCTCTGTTTCCAGTGCTCATCCCACCCCGCCCCCACCCAGCTCCCATTAGCCACCTGCCCTGTGTCTCCCTGGGGAGCTCGCCAACTCTCGCTCACCAGGGACTGGGCTGCCTTTCAATAGTACCTCGTCAGTGATGCCTTGAACCCGTTAACTTTCTAGTCCTGTGAGCCTTCACCCATTAAGCATAACCACAGAAGGACAAATACGGTGCCCCCAGAGCAGAAAGCCACTCAGGACGTGACAGCTATTATTGCTGCTATTCTAACCCAATGAAGGATGCTCCAGGATGACTCCAGCAAGTTCCATAGAGGGTGGGCGGGCTGGGCACTCTGCACATCTGGCAGAGCTGGGAGCCCCATCCCATGGGGGAGGGGGCTGGCAGGACTGCGGCTCCCTCCCACTGTCCCTGAGGACACCCACTTCCAAGGCCTACCTGGACTTTGGGAAGGGCCTTGGGGGCCTTCCGGGAAGCAGTCTGGTTCCTCCAGGGCAGCGGGGGGGCAGAACCACTCAACCTCGCTGAGGTAGATGAGGAAGGAACACTCAGTGCCATCCACCCCAAAGAAGGCGTAGCAGGGGTCAGACGTCCAGCGGGCGCGCATCCACTACGAAGACAGTCGGGCCTGGGCAGGCAGCCAGCAACCCACCCACAGACCACCTCATAGACTCCCCCAGCCACAGGGACCCCAGGATCTTCCAGGCTGTGGAGGAGCTGCGAGGCATGCCCCAGCCTAAAAGATGCAGCTGAAGAGTGGGGGGACGACACACGACTGGACCGGGGGCCAGGTCCCAGGTCAGCCCTCTGCCAGCCACTGAGAGCCAGAAAGGAAGGTGCGGCCACCTTCCCTGCGGCCTCCCCAGGAGAGGGACCGAGACCCGAGAGACTCGGTGGACATAAAGCGGCCAAGTACCAGTGCGAAGATCCAGGAGGTTCGGCAGCTACACCCCATGTTCCCTTTGTCTTCGCCTCCTTAGTAATTAGAGACCACGGGGACCGGGACTGGGGAAAGTTCCTTCCATGGTTGTCCCCACGTGCTCCCTAAGATGGAGTTTGGTGCCCCACAGGACCTCCTCCCCCACCCCCGTCACAGGTTTAGAACTAGGGGAGCTGGCTTTAAGGCTGTGGATTGGCTCTCTTTATGCAGGGGCATTGCGCAGCCAGAAGGGACCCCTGGAGGTGGGCAGGAGAGGCCCTCGGTCCAACCAGCCACGAGTCGGGCAAGGGGCACTAAGAACAGAGCGACTGAAGCCCATTCCTGTCAGGGTGTCAGAATGGGGCTCTAAGTGGCCACCTGAATGTGAGAGAGTGCCGAAGCCCTGAAGGTGACTGTCCCCAAAGGGGTTTGGGTTGGTGCAAGGGGGCAGGCTCAGCGGAGAAAGTATTTCTCTGAGTTTGGTCACCACCAGCTCGTGCTGGGCTAGGGACCTGGTCAACAAAGAGCTCAGCTGGGGCAGAAACCCAGACGGGAGCTGGGCAGAGCCCTGAGAAGGAGCCTCCAGCTGTCTGCATCCTGCCTCGGGGAGAGCCCTAGGCCTCACCTCCACTTTCCCCGAGCAGTCAGGAAACTTGGGGTCACTGGGTGCTTCACATTGGTCCCTCCGACCTTCAGACACTGGAAAACAAGAGGATGACTTACTGAGGCACCTGGGCCTGGAAGCAGTCACATTGAACAAGGTGGAGGTCTAAGGTGCAACCAGAGGCCGTCCCTGCCTCCTCCCCCTGAGGCTCCTCCCACCGAGCAGTCCTGGGATCTGAGCTACCCTCCTCCACACACTCAGTCTCCTCCATCCCCAGAGCAGCAAGCTCTTGCCAGCAGCTACAGAGCAGCTCCCCACCAAATATACCCTTGCTTTTCCTAAGGATGGCAGCTGGGCAGAAACGCCTGGCTTTTCCCAAACCAAAAGGAATGGTGGCCTTACTCTTGGGACTCAGTGATCCAGTCTGTCCTCCACACCCTCAGGCAGTGCAGGGTGGAGTGGACCAGGTCCCCTGCTGAGAGCCTCAAGTAGGGCTCCAAGAGCCAGGCTAGCATTACCAGAGGAATGGACCTCCTGGAGGCTCTGCCCTTTCTAGCAGGGCCTTGGCCTCTGGGGACACAGGGCGGCGTCCTGGCCACGACGCACCCTTGCTATGCAGAATCAGGCTGTGGCGCAGGATCTGGTCCACCTTCACAGCGATGTCAGATACATTCTGGGCAATGGCCTGGATCCTCTCAATGAGGCCAGCCCCAGGGGTGAGCCTGGAGGGGAGGGGAGAGCCAGAGGTGAGCCCACGAACAACGAGCCGAATGGCCAGCACAAACGCCAAGGAGGCAGCAGTGGAAACCAGATGGGGCGGAGCTGAGCTCGCCTGCATCAACGCACACCTCACAGGCGGCAGGAAAGCCCATCTCTGCAGGCACCGGGTGTGTTTACCGCATGTGTGATAATGCAAGACACTGCACCTGGGACTGAAGACAAAGAGACTTCTGTCTTCCTGCCAAGACCCTGAATGGATGAGCCCAGGGACCCCCAGATGACAGACCTTTTCCTAGCCACAGCCGGCTCACCAGACATCACACCAAGACACATTGCACTCCCAGCAACCTGGGGGCCCTCCAGCGAACTAGCATTGGTTTCCTGAGGACACGCTCTTGGGGCAGGAGCAGGGCACAGGTGATCGGTGCCTTCTTCTTCTGCTCTCCATTTTATGTTCTGAGGAGGTGAACCTACAGCTTCCTGATTGGCTAAATGACTGGGAAGCCAGGTCTAGGGATCCTCGAGTTTCTGCGTCCCCAGGGCTGGGGTAATAGGCATTTGACAGTAGCATGTGACAATATGGAAACACATCGGGCGGTGGTGGACACACCTTTAATCCCAGCACTCCGGAGGCAGAGGCAGGTGGATCTCTGTGAGTTCAAGGCCAGCCTGGTCTACAGCATGGCACTATGTAAACACAGTGCAGGAACAGCAAGAGCTCTTAACTGCGGAGCCATCACTCCAGCCCCGCCCCCACCTTTGCCAGTTTTTAAGATTTATTTTATTTGCTGGCACTGGTGGCACTCGCCTTTAATCCCAGCACTCGGGAGGCAGAGGCAGGCGGGTCTCTGTGAGTCCGAGGCCAGCCTGGTCTACCACAGGGAGTTCCAGGTTTGCCAGGGCTACAGAGTAAAACAAACTAAGATTTACTTTTATGTGTGTATATGTCTGTGTGAGTTTATGCACACACGTGTGTGCAGGTACCTGCAGAGACCAGAGGCATTAGATGCCGGGAACTGGGGTTACAGCTATTTTCGAGTAGCCCAGCCTGGGTGCAGCGGTCTGAACTCGAGTCCTTATGAGTGAGCAGCAAGTGCTCTTAGCCCCCGGCGCCATCTCTTCAGGCTCCTACCCCCGATTCCCTTTTATTATTCTGAGACAGACTCACGCAGCCCAGGTTGGTCTCAAGCTTACTATGCAGTAGAGGATGGCCTTGTACTCCCCATCCTCCTGCCTTCTCCTCCCGGTGCCGGGATTACAGACATGTGCCACCCTGTCAGGTCCACGCAGTGCCGGGCGTGGAACTCGGGGCCAGCCAGGCATTCCACCAGCTGAGCCACATCTGCAGCCCACTTCCCTGGGTCTTGAAAGTTTTGGCCGTGGGTGTTAAACCTTCTATTTCCTTCCATCAGCATGGGGCCGCTTTGATTTTTGGAGGATTTATTTACTTGCTGATTACTGGCCAGCGCTCTGGGGATTGTATTAGTTGTTATATGCAGCATTTATCTCATTGCACAAGCTGCTATTGAGATGGATCCCACTCTGCTGGCCTTAGCTTCCTGTCAAGCACAGCCCTGGGGCTTCTCCAGGAAGACGCTTGCTTTCAGTCCTTTCTTTGCACTCGCTCTGAGCCTCACCTCACCTTCTGGAGCGTGCGCGCGCGCACACACACCCATGTGCACACACACCATGCACACCCACCAACACACGTGCACACACGCATACACACATGCACACACATGCGGGTGCACACATGTGCCCGCACACCCATGCACGTGCACACCCACCCCATGCACGTGCACACACATACACACATGCACACACACGAGTGCATGCACACACACACACACACACACTGCTGCTAAAGCTCTGTTTATCCCTATTCAAGTATTTGGTCTGCACAGACACCTGGCATGGATCTAAGCTCTGCCTGGGCATGCAAACCTCACCTCTCACAGGCCGGGTGACCTGCCCACCAGAGAAGGCACGATAGCGGACCTAGATAGCAAACTGCCATGTCTGACCCACCTTCCTTTCTTCCCTTCACCCGAGAAGGAGCAGAGCACGACAGAACGCTAAGGAGGTTCCACAGGCAGATTGGGCTTGTCCTCTACACCAACAAGGACCAGGACAGGTCCTATTCGCATGAATGCTGCTCTCCCTTCCCAAATGCTGGGGGAATAGGGACATGTGTTGCCATTCCTGGTTTATATGATGCAGGGGATTTAACCCAGGACGGAAAGCAGCAGTGCAGCAGCGTGACCTCGGGAGGGTTATGTAACCTCTAGGGACTCAAGTATCAAAGCAAAGATGCTTGGTGGACTCAAGCTGAGGCAAAATGGCGACACCTCGGTATACAGCAGGCGCTTACTAAGGACTGAACCTGTGGCTTCCCTCATGCTAAGCAAGTGCTCTACCACTGTGCTACGTCCCCAGCCCTGCTGACACGCCTCTCCTCCCTATTTAAACAGACACCCTGTCCCTAAGAGGAAGTAGCGTAGGCTCAGCTGAGAAAAACTGAACTTTTTGAAGGATTCAGCAATTCTCCTGCAATAAGCGGTTCTTGCATAAAACATATCGCCAGCATGGGCTTTAAATAGTGCCTTGGCATCTTGACATCTTGAACTTAACAAGTTCAAGTCGTTCAAAACAAAACCCACTCGGCGTCACTATTATTAAACTGGACTTACCATTCACACAACACTTTCTATTTTCAAATAATAGACGAGTAGGCCTCTCACGCTGAGACGCTTTCCCACAAATGGCAGTAAAAGCAGAGTCTCGGGCCTCAGAACCCGGATCTGTGACTTGGGAAATGCCCAGGTAGAAAGGAAGGAAGGGCTTATATACACAAAGTAGCGTGCCGGGCTTATATACACAAAGTCGGGGTTTGACACCCCCAGTACTTGTGAACTGGGCCCAGGGACATGCCTGTAACTAATGCTTGGGAGGTGGAGGCAAGAGATCTGAGATGAGAGAGAGAGGGAGAGACAGACAAAGGGAGAGAGGGGAGAGAGGGAGAGAGAGAGAGAGAGAGAGAGAGAGAGAGAGAGAGAGAGAGAGAGAGAGAGAGAGAGAGAGAGAGAACTTGTCATCCCTCCAAAAAGCAGGTGCTACAAAGTAGATCTGAGATAGGCAGGAATGCACCATGTCACTCAGAAGGGAACCACACTCAGTAAGGCCAGGGCTGATTTAAAAGGTCAGGTGATACAGACTGAAGTCTTTGAGGCGCAACCACCCCCAATGCAGGTGGCAAAAGTCAAAACCGGTCTGAAGAGTTTCCTTGGCAACAGCCATGCTGTCCCCACAGGGCCATCAGCAGGACTTCCTCCAGCTGGGACAGTGACCATGAGCCCTTTGATCCCAATGGTAATTATGCACCTCATCTCCTTCTTTAGGTGTTTTCATGGAAGAGATCCAAGTGTGAGCCCTCACCAGCCTGGACAGGTGACCAGCCTGGACAGGTGGGCTCCAGAAGAGCAGCATGGGCAGCGAGGGGCAGGGGCCAGAGACCTCCACAGTCACCCTGGTGGGATCCCACTGCCCGAGTGCCTTTCTTAGGACCCGCTCGCCTGGTCTAGAACCCCAGGCTCTTCTTCACCCCCAACAAATGTGGCGGTTACACTGATGCACTGTCTGTCCTGAGGAGAGGAAGCTGGCCTGGCTTGGCCCCGTCAGCTCTGTGACCAGAAGTGGTCCTTGCTCTGTCTGAGCCCAGGTCCTCATCTGTAGCCTGGACGCCTTCATTGCTGGGTGAAGATGAAGCTCACCGGGGTCCTGGGGCAGGGGGAGGGGGGTCACCTCACCTACAGCCACTCAATCATTACCCCTCACTTTTGTCGGTTCTCAAACAAAGTCCACTGAGTCTACCACATGCTACCGGGACCCAGGGCCACCTTGCATGTGGTCCTGGTTAGAAAAGGCCACATACCCTCAGACTTCTCTTCTAGTGACAGTGCCTGGTGGTGACCTGTGACAGAGGCTCTGAGTGGTGATGGAGAGACCACAGATTCCTGTACTGACCAGTTTGCCCAAACCTGTTGCAGAGTCTCCCTGTGGGCCTCAAGAGGCTGCTCAGGCCCCAGAATCCTGGGACAGGACCCCCACCACCCATCTGCCAGCTGATCCTTTACAGCTTGGACTGGGGAATGGCCCACAGTTCATACGGGGACTTTCCTGGGTCCACACTGCAGGCGAGGGATGGGGGAGTCAGGAGGAAGATATGCTGGCTGTGCCTCCCTGCATCTGCCCGACGTGGTGGAGACTAAGGCCTGCTGCATCTTCCTCAGCTCCTCCACGCCAGCCCCCACACCAAACCGTCCTCTGAGCAGTAGAGAATGCTGAGCACGGCCTCAGATACCAGCCTCCATGACCACCAAAGCTCACTCCAGCAGACAGGCAACATCACAGGCCTGTTGCCTCCAGGGGCTCAGGGGAACCCCCGTCCAGAGTGTATTAGTCTCTACAACTCCCAGACCCAAGGGCATGACAGGACCCAGCAGGGAGTTCTGACATGTATTTCCTACCAGACCGCTGCTCCAGTCCTCAACTCCTCCCAGGACTGTCCCCAACAAGGCCCCCAAAGGCTCCGCTCCACAAAGTCATCACCAATCCCAGCCAACCCCCTCGCCCCAGAGGTGGCTCTCTAAGTCACTGGAGAAGGAGGTTTAATTCCGAGTTTCTCTGTGATTTACGAGGGTTACAATCAATTAACAGGAGCATTGATTTCTCTGCAGCTGGCCAGCAAGCTCCCTGGGAATAATCGTATTACGAAACAAGGTGCTTTTAAAACAGAAGCCCACATATCTATCTGGGTGCCTGCGGAAACTATACAGCAACACGTACACGCACAACTGCGGGAAACATGATCTGTGCCTCCCTCGCCTCACACGCTGTACGGGGCAAGGGACACCCCTGTGAGGTGTGCCCTTTCCTCCTGTGCAGCCTCATCCCCCGGTGGTCTTCTGTCTCCCCTCACCCCAGCCTCATCCCCCGGTGAGGG